CTGTCCCGGGTTCTGGCAGGACAGCCTCCAACCACAAAGTGCTCTTTAGTTTCTTTCTCGGGCATTCGGGCTGATCCCAGCAGTGCGGAGCGCGGGGCGCGGGGCCTGGGGCTGGGAAGGAGCCCGGCGGACACCCGCCAATGAGCCGCGGCGCAAGCGAACCCTGCTCATTCGTGGAGTTAGTGCCGGGCAGACCCCCACAGACCGTGGGCAGAGGACTCTATGGCTTCTGGAATTATCGGCACCTTCAGTGCTGAACACACCCTTGTCGCTCCGCAGGATGCACTTCTTAAAGCCGGGAAGACGCAAGTCGGTATGGAGTTCCCGGTGGCTCTCTCCTTGCAGAAGGCGATTGCGCAAGGGAAAGAACCAGCCGAAGCCTTAATTTGTAACTAAGGGTTGCCTAGCACCAACAGCCTCGGGGCATATTTTAATACAGAACTAAGAGGAGGACATTTGCCACTTGGCTTCGTCTCAACCATCATCAGGGGTGGCTTCAAAGAGCCGCAAGGGGGATTAAAAAGAGTAGGCTGATGGTTTTCAAGGGAAGTTAAGTCTAGTCATATTTCTCTGAAAGCCACAAAGCAGAAGGTATGTCAAAAGCAGAATTTAAAAGACAGCACCATGAGCATGTCCCTCGCCTGTAAATTACCCTGAAGAATCACATTGAAAAGTATCTTGGGGGCCTGGCCGGTTTGGCTCAGTGGATAGACTCTATCCGATAGAGCGCTGGCCCGAGAACTGAAGGGTTCGATTCCGATTAAGCGCACGTACCTCAGTGGCAGGTTCAATCCCTAGGGCGCCTGTGGAGGTAACCAGTCCTGTGTCCCTCACAGCGTGTTTCTCTCCGTCTCCCCCTCCCGCTCTCTAACATGGGAAACATCCTGGGTGAGGATTAACAGAAAAGAAAGGAAAGTGTCCTGGGACAGAAGCCCATGAAGCAGAAGCCTTTGGTGGGGGTCTAATATGCAGTGTTCCCCCATAGCGGGAACGCAAGTGCTACCTGCCCTACGGCCTCCCGCTGCTCATTCAAACTCAAGAGAAGGCCTTTCTAGACCGGGTCACGTCACCCCAGGCATCCATCCGCCTACAGTCTGGTCGTGTGACAGGACAAGCCGTTTTCCCTCTCAGACTCAGTTAATCCAGATGCCAGGAGCCTCTCCGACCCCCGCTATTCCTGCCCCAGGAGGCCAGGCGAAGGTTGAGTCTGGGCAGTGCCAAGACTCAGCCCCATGGCCAGACGGTGGCGCCCGGGAGGTCATCTTCTCGTGGGGGGGCAAGGGGGTGGGGTTGGGCCGCGGAGACTTCTGCGGGATGCGCATCTCTGGGGTTCGCAGCTCCCGGTGTCTCCCGTGTCACGCTGAGCAAAGGGAAGGAAATGAGATGGGGGGCAGGGGGCTCGTGGGGGCGTGACTTTGACAAACCCAGTAACTAAGTTTTTTTCTTCCCCAGCGGAGACCACTGGCTCTGATCCCACCCCGCAGCCCGGCTGCGAGCAGCGGGAGAAGGAGCGGAGTGGACGCCGGAGACCACCGGGAAAGAGGCACCGCTGCGGCCGAGGCCTTCCCCACGCGCGGCGCCCCGGACCCTCGGCCGGCCATGGCCGACAGCGGCGGCACGGGCAGCTCGGGCCCCTGGTGGAAATCGCTGGTGAACAGCAGGAAGAAAAGCAAGGAGGCCTCGGTGGGGGTGCAGCCTCCCGCCCAGCCTGCCCCCGGGGAGCCCGCGCCGCCCAGCCCGGACTGGACTAACAGCTCCCAGGAGAATCAGCACCCCAACCTCCTGGCGAGCGCCGGCGAGCCCCACAAGCCCGACAAGTTGTGCGCCGACAAAGCCGGCAACAGCCGCCGCAATTTGAAGATCTCGCGCTCCGGGCGCTTCAAGGAGAAGAGGAAAGTCCGCGCCACTCTGCTCCCGGAGGGGGTCCGAGCCCTGGAGGAGGCAGACTGCGCTGGGGACCCCCAGGAGGACCAGCCGTAGCGGGCGGACTCTCTTCCCACCGCGGCTCCCCAACCCCCAGCCCCAAACCCGAGAATTCTGGCCTGCCTCTGAGCGTGGTGTCTCAGTCCCACCAAATTAGAATATCCACACGCGATTTCACATTCCTGGAAATGGAAGTGGCAATTGAGTTTTCAATAGTCTGAGACTCAAGGCTGCATTAAATATTTATTTGTGGTAAGAGAAGATGCCCGCCACCCAGGAAGTCGGCCTAATTCTTATCTTCAAAAAGCTCTTCTGTGGCCTCCACCCTTGTATCACCTGTGGGAGCGAGAGGGGCACCACCGCTCTAAGAGATGGCAGCGCCCCTGGAATTGTGCAGACCTCCGGTGGGGAAGGCGCGCTCTGATTAGGAGCTTGCTGTTGGAGAGCCATCCCTGCTGTTTTCAATGCCTGAGAAATGCACTTTAGAAGCACTTGTGTAGACCTACACCTTGCGTGAAGGAATGGGGGAGAGCAGGAAACCTTCTACGTAGAAGCATGTTAAGTAAGGCAAGGTTGCTTTCAACCTCGACCTACGAAATTGTCCTGCCTGTTTTAGTACTATTAAAACTTTTGCACTGTAAGACGTAAGGTGACTTTTGTACTTTTTCCACTGCAAGACTTGTAGCCCGTCATACTTAAAAGCGGGCATGCAAAATTCGGGGTAACAGAATTAATCATTTGCCACACAATATAACAGCTACTCTTGGGAGAACTATTCTAGAAAGAAACTAGCAACCCCCAGAGTGGAACCAGTTAGCCAGATATCCCTGTTTATTAACCAGAGTCCAGCAAGGGGGGGGTGGGGAGTACTCATTCATCATTCCTAAGTTCTCTTTTGACTTCAGCGCATCCTCATACCGCCGTGGCAATGCCAGGAATCATTCTTTTCCGTCTCCTTGCGAACCTTACTAACGATTGTCTGAAAATACTCAAACAGGAGGACTGAACTCTTAGTTTGTGCAAAGCCAGCTTCTTTTCCCAGGACTTGGTTTCAAAAGCTTATTTCTTTAGTCTGACGTATGCATTTATCAAGTTTCAAAGCCTTTAGATCAACCAACCTGAAGATTCTTAACAAAAATCTACCTGTTTGCTTTTGTCATGAACTTTAAGAAAAAGAGTAAATGAATACCACTCGCTTTCAGCAAATTACAGAGAGTTATTGTAGTTGTTAAGGGCCACTGGGATCTTTTCCCACCACTATTCAGTTCATTTATAAACATCCAGAAATGCATAGCAGGGAAATTATAACGATCCAAGTGTATATGCTTTACAATAATTATAAACAAGAACTTGATTGGATCTTCTGAACTTGTTACAGGTACATAGTGAGGTATATAGCGTTTCTCTCAAATTGGTAGTTTATAAAATAGTGACCCATGTTGCTTGTCTAAAGAGACTTAACAAAGAAACTTGATGAAAATGGCTAAAAGGATTGAAATTAGTGAATCAAGCTGTGGTGCCAGCAGAATAGTAGGGTTTATCCCAAAGACTTATCCCAAAGGAACGTGTTTATATGGGGGTTACAGACACCTTACGTTAAAAGGGAAACCACGTGAGACTCTTTGTTTTTAACTGTGAAAGTCTTGTTTGGTGTGTATTTAGAACTGGAAAGTATGTGACCAAAGTCTTATCAGGGTGAGCTGCTTGGATGAGAAATACTTTACATCACCTTCAAGTGGGCCTATCATCTTTTGACTCAATGAAGAATGGTAAGGAAGGGGGCTGGGGTGCACAGCGATGCACAGAACAGCAGCCATCCAATTAGGCTTCAGAACATCTTCATAAAGTATTTTAATTTCACTCTGTAGAAAGTAATAAAATTTAGAATAGATACTTTTTCCTCAATAGACTAGGTCTTTACCCATTTATAAAAATTCAGCCTGCAAGTAAATAACTTTTAAAGCTTACACTAGCTCTTTAATCCACAGATTTAAATAACCTTTTTTTTTTTTTCAAAATTCCTTTAGATCCACAAAACCTTGGCATTTTCCCAGGTTCTATATCTTGTTTTGGAGCCCATGATGTCTATAATTGCTGCTGATAATCAATAGCAGACATATCACAGTGGAACTTATTCACAAGACATTTTTACCCCACCGTTCTGCAAGGATTGAAAAGCATGCTAATGGCAGTTATGACAGTGAGTACAATTCACAGCCCTCCATTGAGGTTTGTAATTCCATAGTTTTAAAGCAGTCCTAATCGTGCAGTAAGAGTGCACTGATTTAGTCCCAACTCAGTGAAATGAGAAACCAGGCAAAACTGGTGTGATAAAAGGGTCCTGAGTAAGATGAGATACTGTGACAATGTATCTAGCTGGGATTTACATGATTTAGAGATGATTAATCACATTCCCATAACACGTATACAGATTTAAAATTTTTTAAACCTCAAGCTCATCTCTGGTGAATAAAGGGACAGGGTTGAATTAAGTTTGGAGTTAATTCGATCAGGGACTTTTGTTTTCTTTAAGCCCCCTTACACATGACATTCCATCCACAAGTTTGGGAAACCGTTAAAGAATTTTAATACCTTGTTTCCAACTGGTATTTTTTAAAGGGGCAGAAATCTAGCGGCGTGTTTGCTAAATACTTTCATAACCTCGATAATTATATGCACCGGCAGTTTTTGCCTCAGTGACTCTCCTTGCAAAGTCGGTGGCCAAGCAGCGACTCACATTACAGGTCACCCAAAAGTCCCTTTGTGTTCCTGCTTCTATTGTTCATTCGTTTTGATTTGCATTTCGAGAGCAGGACTCTATTTTCGCACAGTGAAGAGAGTCTGCTGGGTATAGCACTTGGAAATATGATTTTCTGCTGTGAAACATAATGTGAACTTCTCAACGCTGGTCTTGCGGAGTCGTTAGGAGGGAACTTTCCACCTAATGAACAGTAGCATTGGTTAAAGCTTTGTCGGAGATAGTACTTCTGAGATGCTCAGATGAGAAGTTTGGTACCCTGAGACCAATACATAATTAGAATGAGCAGAAGGAATTTCAAAGAAAAGGTGAATCGAACGTAAATGAAGTGGACATTACTGTTCAGTGACCACAAGGGACTTTTTATGAAAAAGAGAGAGAGAATATTATTTTTTTTCTGAGCTGAGAAGTGTCAGCCAGACTGGAAACAAACACAAAAAAACCAGCTTGATAGCTGTAGTCAGGGAAACTGATCTTTGAAATGTCTCTTTTATCGGTGGAGCATTTTCTTATACAGAAACAGGAAATTGTTTCTCGGGATTAGCATGGGTTTATCTCCATGGCGAGTAGAAAGAAGGACCAAGGACATTTTATACCCTTAGGTGTCAGCACACAAGTACCTTAGGGCAAACCTTGTCAGCCTTAAGCTGGCTGTCCCATTATAGCAAGCCCTCCCTACCCGTTCTTGTTCTCCTGGTGCCATTGCCTGGCCTCTGAGCCATCACACATGCATTTCCATGAAGCTCAGGGACAGGATAAAGGGGGTGCCCGAGAGGCGCAGGGCCCGCCCCCTGTAGGAACTGCATGTTGACAACTACGTTGTCCAAAGAGGGCTTTTAGGTTTGGAATAGGAGATAAGCAGCGTTAATGGGGAGAGAACACGCGCTAAGGAGCTGAGATGTGAGGAAGCTGCACAGGCCTTGCCCGAGCAGCGGACAGTGACCACCTGTATGGAAATGGTAATAGTAATAGCCCTAGACCACGACAGGCAAGACTGACAGGATATAAGCGATCCTTCAAGTATTCAAAGCAAACTTAGTGTTGCTTCCAAACCAAATCATGCTGCCAATGACAAAGGGATGGACTCAGAATGATCAGAGTTATTGATAAAACCTCACGCAATAAAAAGATTGGGGTGGTGGAGCTGGAAGAGGGCAGAGAAGGGATAAATGGTGATAAAAAAATAAGTTTTTTTAAAAAAAGAACAAAACTGAAAAAAAAATTATGAATGAGGTATCTAACAAGAGTGTTTACCCAGGAGACAAAAATGCCTGGCCCTAAAATGAGAAAGGTTCATGTTGAAGAGGCCAAAGGGCCCTGGTCCTGGGAGGAGCTGGTTGAGCAGGAATATGAGAGCAGTTGGGACCTCTGGGCCTTTTTTGAAGGGATTTTCCTTGCGTTACAAGTACCCTGGACTATTCATTTATTTCTAGTGCCAGTCAACAAGTTTAACCACTGATTTGAACCCTACAATTATGTTTCCATGACCCTTGACCAGAGTTCTCTCTCCGACTTGCTCTTGCCCATTGTTTTTTTTGTTGTTTTTTTTTTAGAGAGAGAGAGAGTGAAAGGGAGGGAGAGAGAAAGACATCGATGTGAGAGAGACACATTGATTGGTTGCCTCCCACATGTGCCCTGGCTGGGGCCAGGGATGGAGCCTGCAACCGAGGTATGTGCCTTTGACAAGAATCGAACCCTAGACCCTTCAGTCCATGTACCGATGCTCTATCCACTGAGCCAAACCATCCAGGCCTCTCTGACTTGCTCTTGGACAAGTCTTAGATGATCTGGGTGTCAATTCCTTCTGTGAAATGATGGCATGGAGTCCAATTTCCAGCTTCAAAATCCTCCATCTGTATTCTGCTATTTTGAGCATACTTTAATTATGGGGACACTCAGTTGTCTTATTTTTGTAATTTTTAAATTTTTTCAATATTTTCATCTGCATGCTCTATAACTTCAGTGTAAATCAACAACTATTTATTGAGCACATAGTTGAGAACTTATTGAGTGTATGAGCCTTGGGACAAAAAAATGAAAAGGATGTTTGTAGTGCTTCACACATTTTATAAATTTAAGCCCTGGCCTTCTTGTTTTGTTGTTTGTTTATAAAATGTTTATTGGGTTCATTCATTCCTTTACTTATTCCATGTGTGTGTTAGGTACCAGGCAATGAACTAAACTGCAGATGCAGGAGAAAATAGGTTCTTAATCTATACTTCTTTATAAACCTTCTGCAATATAGTATAATACCAACAATAATAGATACATGTCAGGTATTGTGAGTGACCTGAAGGTGTTGAATGCATTCCCAATCCAGAACTCAATCCTTTGCTGCTGGACCACTTAAGTCAATGTGTAGGTTAGACCATCGCAGAACACAATGTTCTACCTCTTAATTCCTCAAGTTGGCAGAGCTCCAGAGAGGCCAGAGTCTGGAGCAGCCCTTAAGGGAAGGGAGGAATTAGAGGCCCTTGAACCATGTCCAAACCTTTCCCTCTCAACCCCTTGACTTCACAAGGTAAGCAGATGCATTTCCTGGGAACCAGTAGGCCCCACCCCAGAACCAGGATGCTGGAGGCAAAGACCAATAGTAGTTAGCATAATAAATGCGAGCAGTCCATCAGAAGGCTGATGGACTTTGATATTCAGCAGGGCTGAAAATCTGCATATTATTACCTGCTGCTGGCTGAACAGCTGAAGGCAGTTCCCCTAACCTGATAATCCTTTTATTGTTTACCAAACCTTACCATTGAAATGTTTATTTGGGAAATGGTGAGCATGCTTGACTAAATTCAGGAGATCCAACCTGATTTGCATCTTTCCTTTCTACTTTTCATCCAGCCACCAAACTTCCTGTTCCTGAACTCATTGAGTAGGATACTCATTC